TTACAGTACCGTCATGCTGCATTCGACTCGTCGGGAATGGGGCTATAATATCACCCCGATATACGCGGTAGTAATATTTGTAGTGTCGTTTCTACCGTTGTACGCATCTACAATATGAATGAATACGAAATGGATGGACAGAAAAGATTCCATTGCTTCGCCAGTGCGGTAGATCGACGCAGTGTAATCCAATGTGCACGCGGAGATGATAATTAGAACGAAGTGTCCAAACAACTCGGCATCAAAATCAAAACTTATCGTTCTATTGCAGTCACTGATTAGGGAAACCGACACACAAACTTGGATTTTACAAGGCGAAGTTCAACGCCGAGTTAAACACTTTTGCGATGCTGCTGACGCGAACCGAACAGCCATTTTGAGACACTTAAAGGACAGGATGGAAAATAACTTCTCGGGCACATCGATCAACAATAATTTGATTGATCGACCCTGAATGGACACCTTCATTCGTTTGTAGAAAGAGGCAAAATAAAGGACATCTGGGCTATCGGGGTCCAATGAGCAATACATTCATTGCGAGCAAACGGGCCAATAACTAACAGCACGTTAGTTTTCGGCAGAAGGTGAAACCTCCGCTAATTTTCATATGCCTGGCCAACGCTACCAGCAGCGGTTTTTCTGATATCTTGCTATCAAGGTTTCACAGATGCTCGTCGAACAGCAATTGTGTTCATATGCTTGCATGACCACAAATCGCTTAAAGTTCTGTGGATGGTGATTGTTGAGAGAGATCCAAAAGGGGAAACTTTCGAAAAAATATTTCAAGAGATAAGCACAAAACGGACCATTTCAGAGTTATCAAAATCAATAAATGCATTCGAGTCCTATTTTTCATACCTAATAAATGAGATCATAAGTGGCTTTTATCTCAAATAAATACTGTTGGATAAAGCCGAAATAATAAAAATGTATAATCAAACCAGTATAGCGGATATTCGGAATAGTTAGCTTTTCATTTTCAAATAACACCGAAAGCACTGAGATAAAACAAAGGTCACACGGTTAATATCGATTATCCTTGTGTGCATTTCTGGCCATTTGAAAAACTCAAAAACGAATCTGAATGAGCTCCTTTTGGATGCGGTACATAGATCAGAGAGAATTCAAGCATTGGTAACGTTGTTTCTCATATATTTGTTGAACCTCGGGGGGAGAATGGTTCTTAAGTGGTGCTTTTATTCGAAGTGATCAGCAAGGCATTTTAAAGATGAAATCGTTCGATTACAAATGAGGTCTAACTGTTGCGAGCACCTTTACCAGGAAACCGACATAAATAGATATTCTCGGACATACACTGTCTCGGAGGTAAGTGACTTTGAAAGTAAAGAAATCCATACTATTTAAATATATTGTTCAGATACCATAGTTCGTAAATGTGTAAAAACTAGTTTTGATGGCCAACGGAATCATCCAGGAAAATTCCCTGGATTGTTTCATGAAATCGCTTCACACACACCATACCATTGTGAGAAGAATTCCATTGTCTGTTTACTAGCTCCCTTCCCTCTCATGACCTGTTGCATACTGTGTCCATGCCCGACAAAATCCTGGGTGCATATCTGTGTATACCTGTGTGCACGTGTGTCTCTACGTGTGTGTCCCTCGGTGTCGGTGTGTATGTGTGCGTGTGTACGAAACGTACCGTGTGAAAATGCCGCTTGGGAACCAAGTCCAAAAGCGGATTTTCCACACAAGGATTTCCTCGCCAATTCTTTTTCGGATGTGTT